CCCAAAGTCACCCAGCCAGCTTTCATGTTTAAGGCAGGACTAGAACTCACCGTCTCCTGGTGATTGGCCCAAAGTCACCCACCTGGCTTTCACGTCTAAGGCGGGACTAGAACTCACTGTCTCCTGGTGATTGGCCCAAAGTCACCCGACCAGCTTTCATGTTTAAGGCAGAACTAGAACTCACCGTCTCCTGGTGATTGGCCCAAAGTCACCCAGTTGACTTTCACGTCTAAGGCGGGACTAGAACTCACTGTCTCCTAGTTTCTAGCTGACATCATAACCACTAAACCAAATTGGCTACAAGAAGCCCCCAAATAAATTCCTGATAAGATTTTACAACGTGTCTTTCTCTTCCCCTACTTCTAGTACAGCTTCCTTCTTTCTTGGGGAAAGAGGATCAGAGATAGGAAGTTTAATCACTCCAACTTCCTACAGGATATTTTTGCCCCTGCACATCCTCTCCTTACACACATACACATTTTATCCCCTCGGACTCACTAACTAGGTGAGTCTTCACCTTAGAGCAGAGGTGAGTGGAAAGCCTGCAGACCTATGAAAACAATGTGAGTAACCAAGACAGGACCTCAGGGGTTTGCAAACCCATCATCTTTCAATATTTACTCCGCGGTTTAGCCTTGCTGGGATCCAGGGTTCAACAACATCTGGAAAACCGGGAATTTCTCATCCATTTTCTCCACCACCTTCATAGCTTTCTTTTTTGTTTCTTTTATAAAGAAGAACAATCTCCAAAAGGAAGACATCATTTCAACCACGTAAAAACTCTTTTTTATTTTTCCATTCACTACATCGGGATGATGGTAATATACATGACAATAGTAATGACAAGCTCCACGGAGTTGCTAAAAAGGATTAGCCCGGATTAATTTGGATTAGGTCTGAAAATGTTCCCTGAGAGGTCCTGAAATATTATTTGAAGTCCCCAGAATAGCTTAAGGAACAAGAGAAAATCCGCATCTCCCGTTGACCCAAGAAACAGGAGGGAGTGTGCAACAAGTGTGACCTTACAGTTGTCGCAGCCTTGAGTTGTGTGAGGCACGAGAAAACACCTCTGGGAAAAAGGGAGGAAGTGATAGGGTAGCTGTAAAGAAAGAGCTGGAAGGAAGTTTATTTTATTTCATTTCTCTGTTTCTTTCTCTTCCTTCCTCTCTCTCTCTTTCCTCCCTTTCTCTTTCTTTCCTTCTTTTCTCTTTCTCTTTCTCTCTCTCTCCTTCCTTTCTCTCTTTCCTTCCTCTCTTCCTCTCTCTCTTTCCTTCCTTTCTCTTTCTCTCTCTTTCCTTCCTTCCTCTCTCTCTTTCCTTCCTTCCTCTCTTTCCTTCCTCTCTCTTTCCTTCCTTCCTCTCTCTTTCCTTCCTTTCTTTCTTTCTTTTCTTCCTTGCTTCCTTTCTCTTTCTCTCTCTTTCCTTCCTTCCTCTCTTTCCTTCCTTTCTTTCTCTCTTTCTCTTTCCTTCCTTCCTTCCTTTCCTTCCCAAGTCCCTATCCTGAACAGGGGGTTGGACTAGAGGACCTCTGAGCTCCCTTCCAGCCTTACTATAGGATTCCACAGGTAGCCCTTGACCTAACGACCACAATCAAGCCCAATATTTCTGTTGCCAAGTGAAACGGTTGTTAAGTGAATTCCCCCCGCCCCATTTCACCATGGCTCTTAAGTGGTCAACTTGCAGTGGTCGTGTTAGCCGCACGGTTGTTAGGTGCCCCTGGCTTCCCCGTTGGCTTTGCTTATCAGAAGGGGACACCACAACCGTCATAAACACAGGCCAGTTGGCAAGCGCCTGAATTTTGATCACGCGACCGGGGGACGCTACCACGTATGTTGAGTGTGAAAAACGGCCATAAGTCCCTTTTTTTCAGTCCCGTGGCAACTTGGAATGGTCATTAAATGAACTGTTGTAAGAATATACGATGTGCGTGTTGTGTGTTCAGTGACTTCTCCTTTGTGTTAAAGTGCGACTTTAAAAATGAAAAAAGCAAATTTCTTCTTCCTCCTCTTCCTCTTCCTCCTCCTCTTCTTTTCCTTCTTCATTTGGTGTTCTCTCTTGTTCCAGTATAAATTACTATTATAGTTATTAGTTCTATTGATTTGTGATTAGTTCTTTGTGCGTTTTTCTTCGACACACATAAGTGTTTAATAAAAAGCATAGTCCCTGGGTCAATCTAACCATATGTAACATCGATGATAAGAACAATATCAACTTGTATAATATTGCATTTGTCCAACTTCTGATTTCAACCTCTGCTGTCTAGCCATTTGTAAAACGAATCCCGTGTTACGAAAATATCCTGTATCTATTTAATTTTATTTATTTAGTTGAGTTTGTCAAGCGTGTATGAGAAAACAAGTATAAGTATGAAGATAACGTATAAACATATAAGTATAAACGGGTATGAGTATATACATGATAAATGAGTATGAATAAATGGGAACCGTAGGACAGGGACGGTAGGCACGCTGGTGCGCTTATGCACGCCCCCTTACAGACCTCTTAGGAATGGGGTGAGGTCCATGGAAGACAATTTAAGATTAAAGTTTTTTTTGGGGGGGGGGGGTTGAAGATGTAACAACAGTCAGTGTCATGTCCCTGGTGGAGACTGACTCTGAGGGAGAGGAGGAACAGCCGGCAGGGAGTGGAAGTGTGGCTCTGCGGAGGTTGTGGAGGAGGCTGGGGAAGGGCAGAGGCCGGCTGGGCAGTCAGGGCAGGACCCAGGCCTATCCCCTCTGCATCCTAGGACACGCAGGGAGGAGAGGATCAGGGTAAAACATGGTCTATTGGGGAGGAGAGGGCCTTGATCCTCTTCATGGGCTGCAGCTGTGACAACTAGATAAGAGGACGGACATGCGTATGGGCCAGTGCTGGAAACAAAGCATGGAAATATCTCTAGTTTATGGTTCCTCTCTGAGTTTGGCGTCCTTCCCAGTGTGTGTTCTGATATCTGTGGATGTCCTCCAGCCCTTATCTTGCCTGGTTTGTGTTATTTTTCATTTATAATTTAAACAGCATTTCCTCCTCCTTGTGTGGGAGTTTTTTTTGTCTCCAGTCAAGGATATTTGGAGCTAGGAAGCAAAGTGAAGGAATAAAAGGGGCTTCACCTGTTTTTTTGTGACTGTGTTTATTTTGTATCCCACTCTGGGTCATCACAGTCAGGTAGTGAGCTCCAGGCATTGGCCGCTCTGTTGCTGAAGTCGTATTTTCTGCAATCGAGTTTGGAGCGGTTTATTTTGAGTTTGCATCTATTGTTTGCCCGTGTGTTATTGTGGTTGAAACTGAAATAGTCATTGACAGGTAGGACGTTGTAGTAGAGAGTATCCTCTTTATCCTTTATCTTTAATATTAACCGATCCATCTAATTATTATTATTTAATTATGCTTTCCTCTGAATCCCCGGAATTCAGTTCAGCTTTTGCATCCGGGAACACCCTCCCAAGCTCAGGTTGATTTAATTGCAAACTTTTTTTTAATCGTCTCCCAGTTTATCAACGCCGGAATATTTGATGAAACAGAACTTACGCAATATAGCATGATCCCCTGTATCAAATGCCCGCTTTAAAAGGTGTCTGTACTACACCATCGGTGTAAACACACACACAAACACACGCCCTCTTTAATACTTCGAAGAGGAGTGGGCAGCCAGGATGCATTTAAATCCGCTTCTCGGCCATCAACCAAACAATCTTAATTGCCAACCAAGCTGCCAGTTCCCCAAAAAACAATTCTTCTGATTCATTTCTATCCTGGATGGGTTTTCCCAAGAAACCATGGTTAATCAAGGAAGCCTGGCCTGATCCATCCAGCTGTAATTAAGTTCTTAGGAAAATGCGGTTTGCCAAAAAAAAAAACCAGCATCACCAATTTTTGCCACCCAACCTCCGATGCTCCACCTAGCAACTTGCCAAGGATACTGGAATTAAAATCTCATTTTTTTCTCTCTCTCTTCCACTTAAGTTGATCCGAGATTACCCAATCTCATTTTTAAACATTTTTCTTTCCTGCTTTCTTTTCTTTTCTTTTCTTTTTCTTCCCATCCCCCCTTCCAGAAACAGGCTGAAGGGAACCTTGGATGATGAGTTCCAACAATAAATCGTTTATTTTTAAAAAATAAATAAAGCTATTTCTGCTACAGGAGGGCGTTTTGGTCGCTCACCCCGGTTTATTTTGGAATGTGCGTGTTTGAGGCCCTCACCCAAGCTTGTAGCTATCTGACTCGCTCGTTCCTAAGCTCTAATTAGAGCTGGAAGTTAATTAAAATGAACTCCTTAACGAGGTTGCAATTGGCAACACCATCCTTTGGACCAGCCCTTCCTTCTGCTGCTGCTGCTCAAAACTATGGAATGCCGTCTTCCTGGAAAGCGAGATGCAGCAAGTTTTTGGGAGGGTGGAAGACACCTCACGCCTGATATTTCTCTCTCTCCCTCTCCTTTTGCACAATCGCGATGAATGCAGCGGAACCATTGTTTTTAAGGTTCCTTCACCCCAATTTAGAAAAAGGCACCCCAGGAGGCAAGGGGAAATACATAAATGG